GGTTTTTGTCGGCTTGTTTTGTATTAACGTCGGCGATGTCATTTCTATGTCGGCAATTCTTGAAAATTATGCTTCTTGGCTTGTATTCATTGTCATTTTGTATATGTCGGCCCGAGAAGCCTTTTGATCAAGATGTAATACGTATTTTGCTTTGTTGTATTCAAGTTGTAAAGATGTATGCCATTTCATTGGACTTATGCACTGCTCTTATGGACCACTTGCATTTTGAATTATTGTTTCCGCATTTGTGAGCCCCCTATATATATATACTCTGATTGTGTGTGAACTTTGGAAGTTGGCCTTCGCTAATTACGGATTACTGGCCATCACGGCACCAAACTACTAGGGGTGGTTTGGGGTCGTGACAAGCATCACCCCTTTCACATGGGGTGATATCAACAAATCACCCCCTCAACCCATGTAAGGTGATCTATTGCACACACTGCTGCTAATCTTGTCACGCCCAAAATTCAACTTAGTCTGCATCTCCTAAAGCTAGAGATAATACACCAGAGATACAAGAGGAGGAGGGAATCCTACATCCTCAACTCAACTCACACCGCTCTCTGATTTGGAGAGAGCCTCTGCTCCTATCTCCCACAGATCTCTTCTGCGCTTCCTGTCTCAGATGTCTTCACCTGCTATGCTTGAACTTGCGTAACCAAGATATCATATACCCCCTGATTGGATGTCCTGCACCCCCTGCTGAGATGTCCTTGACTGTCATGCCTTTGCCTTCTGTCCATAGTGGTCGATCAACACTGCCTTGCACCCAAAGGTGCTTAGTTCCGAGAGATATTGACCAAGTCCAAACAATGTTGGAACTTGATCCCAGAAACCACTTTTATGAGCATATCGGCCGAATTATCTGCAGTACTAATCTTTTGAAGCAGAATATCCCCTTCATTCACAATTTCTCGGATGAAATGGAAACGGACATCAATGTGCTTGGTGCGGGAATGATGAACCTGATTCTTTGCCAAACAAATGGCACTCTGACTGTCACAGAACACCTCAATGTGCTTCTGAACAATACCCAAGTCCTCAATCAACCCATCTATCCAAATAGCTCCCTTAAAGGCTTTTGTCACTGCCATGTACTCTGCCTCTGTAGTAGACAAAGCCACCATTGACTGAAGTCCTTAAAGGCTTTTGTGAGTGCCATGTACTTTGCCTCTGTAGTAGACAAAGCCACCGTTGACTGAAGCATTGACCTCTAACTTGCCGGCCCTTTAGCAAGCATAAATAAATACCCTGTTGTTGACCGACATTTGTCCAAGTCACCGGCATAATCTGAGTCCACATATCTAACCAGATTCTGTCCGAGTCTATGATCTCTCTCGAACTTCAAACCCATATTAACTGTGCCATGTAAGTACCTCAAGATCCACTTCACTGCCTGCCAATGACCTTTTCCTGGATCATGCATGTACCTGCTTACCATACTCACAGCATGTGAGATGTCAGGCCTTGTACAAACCATAACATACATTAATGCACCAACTGCATTTGCATATGGAACTTGTGCCATATGCTTCCGTTCTTCTTCTGTGCGTGGAAACATCGAAGCACTGAGCTTGAAATGAGGGGCCAATGGTGTACTCACAGCTTTTGTTTTCCCATTTATGCCAAATCTGTCCAACACCTTTTTCAAGTATTGGGTTTGTGTTAGATGAACCATGCCCTTCTTCCTGTCTCTCTTGATCTCCATGCCAAGAATTTTCTTTGATTCGCCAAGATCTTTCATTTCGAACTCTCCTGCCAATTGTGCCTTGAGTTTGTCAATCTCTAACTTGCTCTTAGATGCAATCTGCATATCATCTACATATAAGAGCAAATAGATGAAGGAACCATCAGAAAGCTTACAGAAATATACACAATGATCATACTGGCTTCTTGTGTATTTTTTTTCCGTCATGAACCGATCAAATCGCTTGTACCACTGTCTCGGAGACTGCCTCAACCCGTACAACGATTTTTTTAATTTGCAAGCCCAATTCTCTTTTGTGCGTGGAGACATCGAAGCACTGAGCTTGAAATGAGGGGCCAATGGTGTACTCACAGCTTTTGTTTTCCCATTTATGCCAAATCTGTCCAATACCTTTTTCAAGTATTGAGTTTGTGTTAGATGAACCATGCCCTTCTTCCTGTCTCTCTTGATCTCCATGCCAAGAATTTTCTTTGCTTCTCCCAAATCATTCATTTCAAACTCTCTTGCCAACTATGCCTTGAGTTTGTCAATCTCCACCTTGCTCTTAGATGCAATTAGCATATCATCCACATATAAGAGCAAATAGATGAAGGAACCATCTGGAAGCTTATAGAAATATACACAATGATCAAATTGACTTCTTGTGTATTCTTTCTCTATCATGAACCGATCAAATCTTTTGTACCACTATCTCGGGGATTGCTTTAACCCATACAACGATTTGTTCAGCTTACAGGCCCAATTCTCTTTTCCAGCAACTTTGAAACCATCTGGCTGGGACATGTATATCTCCTCTTCAAGATCTCTATGTAAAAAGGCAGTTTTGACATCGAGTTGGGCGAGCTCGAGATCAAACTGTGCAACCAAAGCTAGCAAGATACGAATAGACATGTGCTTCATAACAGGTGAGAATACCTCATTGTAGTCTATTCCTTCCTTCTGAGTATAGCCTTTAGCTACCAATCTAGCTTTGAATCTGATGTTGTCTCTGCCTGGGATGCCTTCTTTCTTGGTGAAAGCCCACTTGCACCCAATTGCTTTCTTACCCTTTGGAAGTTGCACCAACTCCCAAGTTTGATTCTTGTGAAGTGACCCAATCTCTTCATCCATAGCCTCCTTCTAATTAACACTTTCTACATTCTGCACGGCTTCTTTGAAAGTGCAAGGAACATTATCTTCAATGATTGAAAGTGCATAGGCTACCATATCGGTCAACCAACTGGGTTGCTTAGTAACCCTTTTCCTTTCCTGATTGCAATGGGTTCTGACTGCTGTGGGGCCTCTGGATCTTCATTTTCATCTGAACTCTCTTCAGAGCTATCCACTGAGACTTCTTCAGGATGGTTGATTGGCTGACTAGTCTTTGCTGGAGTCTCAAACTCCACCTACACTGACTTCTTCAATGCTTCCTCATTCTGTTGAGGATTTAGCTGCGTTAGCATTGTAGACTCATCAAAGGTAACATCTCTTCTGGTGACAACTTTCTTTGATTCAGGGCACCAGAGTCTGTATCCCTTGACACCGTCACTAAAGCCCAAGAAGATGACTTTCTTGGCTCTTGGATCCAACTTAGATTCTGTAACATGAAAATAAGCTGGACATCCGAAGATACGTAACTGATCATAATCAGTAGCTGACACTCCTGACCATACCTCCATGGGAGTCTTGCCATCTAGTGTTGCAGTAGGTAATCTGTTGACAAGATGACGAGCATAGTTCAATGCCTCGCCCCAAAATGCCTTGCTCAATCTAGAATGTGACAGCATACACCGGACTTTTTCCACCAAAGTGCGGTTCATGCGTTCTGCAACTCCATTTTGCTGCGGTGTTCCAGGAACTGTGAAATGTCTCACTATCCCTGCATTCTGGCAAACCTCAAAGAAGGGATCTGATGTGTATTCCCCACCATTGTCAGATCTGAGCTTCTTGATCTTTCTGCCTGTCTGGGTCTCAATCATCTTCTTCCACATAAGAAAGATGTCTAAGATTTCATCTTTGTGCTTCATTGTGTAAATCCAAACTCTTCTTGAGAAATCATCAATGAATGGCACAAAGTAGTCTTTACCCCCCAACGAAGCATTCTTGGAAGGACCCCATACGTCGGTGTGAACGTAGTCTAGAATCCCTATGGTACAATGAATAGCAGTACCAAACTTGATTCTTGTTTGCTTTCCCAGTACACAATGCTCACAGAACTCAAGCTTTCCTATTTTGGCGCCTTTCAATAGGCCTTGCTTTACCAACCCTTGTAAAGCCTTCTCACTGACATGCCCTAGGTGCATGTGCCAAAGTCTGGAAGTGTCTGATGCATCATATTCTGAGCTGGTGGAGATAGCCACTCTCCTTGTGACTGTAGAGCCGTCTAGGAAATATAAATTTCCCTGTCGAGTACCTTTCATTGCAACAAATGCTCCTCGAACAACTTTGAGGACTCCACCTTCCATAGTTACTCTATAACCTTTGGAGTCTAAAACTCCCACTGAGATGAGATTCTTTGTTAGATCTGGTACATACCAAACATCTTTAAGAATTCTGATTGTTCCATCATGTATCTTCAGTTGAATTGTTCCAATCCCCTTTGTCTGGCAAGCTTGGTCATTGCCCATCAGCACAACTCCTCCATCGAACTCTCGTAAGCTCGAGAACCATTGCTTGTTCGGACACATGTGGTAGGAACATCCGGAATCTATAATCTATTCATCAGACTGGCCATATGATGAAACTGTGAAGGCTGCTCCTTCACAATTATCTCCATCTCATGCAACGTTTACTTTTTCTTCTTTCTTGTCTTTAATGGGACAATCTTTTGCCCAATGCCCCTTCTGGCGACAAGCAGCACACTCGTCTTTTGTAAGACGTCTTCTGTCTGACGATTTCCCTCTGGATTTTGAGCGAGACTTTCCTCGCCCTGTATATCTCCTGTTATTTGTTCTGCCTCTGACTGTCAATGCCTCGGATGCTGAGTCCCTGTTTGTAGACTTATCTTTCCTTCTGAACTCATTGTTTACCAAGGCATTTGCAACATCAACATACTTGATCTTTTCTTTACCGTACAGTAAAGTGGTAGTGAGATGATCATGAGTCAGGCAAGGAATTTAACAATAACAGTGCTTTATCTTCATCACCAATGTGATCATCCAAATTTTTCAAATCCATAAGAATTTTGTTGAAGTTGTTTAGGTGTTCGTTCATCGAAATACCTTTCTTATAGTCGAAACAAAACAACCTCTTCTTCAAGTAGAGCCGGTTCTCAATGCTCTTTGTCATGAACTTATCTTCCAGCGCCTTCCAAAGGTCCTTCGCAATATCATATTATGTGAAGGCATACTTCTCCTCATTTGCAAGGCAAAGTCGGATGGAACTGCAAGCCAGGAGATTCACCTTCTTCCATTCTATCCCGTCCAGGTCATCTAGTTTGTCTCCCAGAGTGAAGTGCAGGTTCATCTGAACAAGCATATCTTTAACTTCGCATCTCCACATGCCGAAGTTGCTACTTCCATCAAACTTTTCTACCTCAAACATAGCATGGGACACTAGGGTCCAATGCCTAGAGTTGCTTGTACTCGCTGGATTACTTACGGACTCAGTTGATCTGGTCTTTGTAGATTCTTCCATTAAACTATTTTTTTTTTAGAAACTTCAATTCAAAAAACTGACCGTACAGATGTGCCCAGAATACTCCAAATAGTTGGAAAGCACTATTGGATCGTCAAAAACGGACTCTAAATGACTTCGATCGAGCCAAAATAGTGTGGACGGTTCAGATCTGCAGAATCTGGTACGTCTGAGATGCACCGGATAATTACTCTGGAACAGCGCGGTCAACGGCTTGACGGCACGGACAACGGCTCTGCGATGACGTGGCAGGACACGTGTCAGATGACATGGCAGCCTGGCTGACGTGGCGATAACGTGTCGGACACGTAGCGCTGACGTAACGGATGCATGGTGCTGACGTGGTGGATGACGTGGTGGCCGCATCACTCGCCTTCTTCTTCTTGCCGCGCGTAAGGGCATGTGTCTGCGGTGTGATGACGCGCCGGTTGCTGAACGGCGCGTATCGAGAGTGGGCTTCACTCTCCTTCTTCAGATGGCGCGTTAATGCTCTTCTTGGGCTGATTTTTGCTGTTCTGGACTCCTGTCTTGGAGATCTTGCTTGTGGTGTGCTCAAAAGTTGATTTCGAGCACTTCAAATCTGGGCACTTTCGGAAAAAATTCAATTTTTCACTACCCGAGCTTTGATATCAATTGTTGTGGATCGGGGGCACACCAGGAAACACACACAAGCAATAACACAAGAGATTTAACGTGGTTCGGCAAGTCGCCTACGTCCACGGGCAGCGGATTTCACTATATAGAGAAATGTATTACACACTCTGTATTCTCTCTCTGTGTAAACTCTCTTAAGCTCACCACTCACTGTATTCTCTCTGCTCTCTCTACCTCTATTTATACATGAGAAGGAAAGGAGCTGGCTGGCCTTGCACGTGGCCAGCTGTTGTTCAACGAAGGTGGATTGTCAACTATGGCGGCTTGTCGGTTGGCAGCCGCAATAGAGGAATGCTATGGGATGCTTTCAAATTGAAGAGTATCACCTCTTTCACATAGGGTGATATTAACAGACTGAAGAACGATCAAAATCCTAGATTGTTGTTTATGCAACAAACTCGCAAATTCTTTATGAACAAACCCTTGCGGATCAGAAAGAGAAGAGAATGGCGGGAAAACTAAGTGGTGTTCAATCTCTGTGCCAATGCTATGAAGTGATTCGGATAACAAAGCTAGTCCACTGGAATTGTTACCATAGGTATCGTCTTCGTATATCGCTATTACTTTTTTCCATTTGTAGGATTGAAGAATGGATGTCATGCAATTCATTTGTTGGGAGCCATTGCTGGCTATTTGTACTAAGAAAGACCAACGAAGGGTGGTCGATGGCGGTGAAATGGTGGCCGCTGATGCCAGTGAAAGGATTGGGATTTGTTCTCGGTTGCCGATGGATGCAACTACAGCTGCCTCATGCCATGTCTCCATCCCAACAATCACTCGTACTTGTTCTTCTTTAATAAGCTCCTCAGCTGCAAAAAAAAATTGAAAATTTTACAATTAATTCTACTTTTTTTAAATAAAAATAAGAAAAATTATATTCATACATTTATACAAAAATCTCCACAATAATTATGTGACAAAATTATTCTTGTAAATAAATTCATCTTCACGAGTGTTTTGCTTTAAAAAGGAAAATTAACAATGAATCATGTTATTTTGTATGAAATTTAACATAAATTTTTATTTATATATCATTATTCTAAAAATAATATACTAAACAATTGTTTGTTTGTTTGTTTTTTTTTAAATGAGAAATAGTGACCATATGAAACTATATAATATATGTTTTCATTCCTATCTTATGAGTTGTGGGTTCGTTTGGAAAGTAGGTTGGCTTTTTGGCATTTTAGCTATTTTAGCCTGAGACTAAAAAATTTTGTTGGGGATGAGCTTTTTTGACTTTTGTGAGAGAAGAATGTAATGATTATGGGTTTGGCATCCTCCAAAACTATATAATATATGTTTTCATTCCTATCTTACGAGTTGTGGGTTCGTTTGGAAAGTAGGTTGGCTTTTTGGCATTTTAGCTATTTTAGCCTGAGACTAAAAAATTTTGTTGGGGATGAGCTTTTTTGACTTTTGTGAGAGAAGAATGTAATGATTATGGGTTGGATGTGATGTTTTGTCTTATTGAGGCCAAGTTTGGCATCCTCCAAAATCCAAAAAGTCAAAAAGTCACTATCTTATTTAAGTCACATCATCTTATTTAAGTCACATCACCTCTCTAACGCATCACTTCAAACCCAACCCAAATCCAACCCATATTTCATAAAAAGTCAAAAAGTACACTTATTTAGTCTTCCCAAACTTGGCCGAGTTAAAAAGTTTATTTTGTCTTCTTGTGACTAAAATAGTCCCAAACCCAACCCAACCCAAGTTACCGAATGAGGACAGTATATCATGTTGATTCTTATGTTATTGCATAAACACAGAGTAATGTTATAAAAAATAGATCTTTAATTTATGTGATAATTGTATTTGTGTATGTTTTTCTTTTTACAAAGAATTAGTGTTTATTGGTGATAAGTCCATTTTTTACAAAATATCACATGAGATCCAATGATTGATATGTTTAGTGATAATGATATTATTTTGCGAAAATGAAAAATTATTGTTTTAAAGGGAATTTTTTTTTTTACCCCACTGTCACCAAACCACCATTGATCGATAATCGAAAAAATGACTGAAAAAGTCGCTGAAGGTGGGCTAGCATCAACAACGACTAGTGGTGGTGGTGATATACACAGATAGACAGATTAAATAGACAAATAGGTAACATGTAGACAAATAAGGGATGACATGTGAACAGATAGACAAATAGATATGGATAACACGGTTTTTCAAATTATTTTGTCCTTTTAAACCCCAAAAGAATAGAGCTTGAGACTATTGTCACAAAAAAATTTAAAATTGAACTTATGACTCGAGTCCCCGTTAAATTATAATGTGTATTTTTTTTATATACTCTCTCCAATTTGTTGGTTCCTTTTGTGGATTCCAACTATTTAAGGGGGCATGCAACCATTACGTTTAAATTTAAATTTCAAAATATTTTTGTACTAATGTTCCAATCTTTTTCAAATTTTTAATATATTTATAATTACTCAAAAGGGGTAGTTTTGGAAAATCAAAGGCTCCGTTTAGTTTAATTTAGTTTTGAAATTAATTTTGAAAGATAAATTTTTTAAAATTAAAAACTTGTTTTGGTTATGAGTTTTGAAAATAATTTTGAGATGATTTGTAGGTTTTTTTTTTTAATATAATTGAATAGATGGGCATGAGAGGAAATTTAATTGAACGATGTGTAGAATGTGAGATGAGAGAGGAGAGATTTGATTAAACCAAATATATTTTTTTATTTTTCAATGCAAAAGTTAATTTGAAAATTAAACTAAACGGAATCAAATATTTTTTATTTTGACTTTTTAAATAAGACTTATCATTTTGGAATATCTTAAAATGAAATAATAAATCAACAGAATGAGACGGATGGAGTATATAAACTTAACGTATAGAATGGGACGACTTATTATAATCCTCATTTTTATCCAAAGACTCATTATTTTTATAAATAGTAGTTTTTCAATAAATAGTCACCATTGCATAATCAATCACATAAAATATTGCATCCGTGTCAACAAAAACTAATGATTGGTAGCCACCAAGGAAGCACGGGTGCGGGTACGAGTACGGTACGGGTACGAGTGCGGGTACGCCGATTCGGCAAAACTCGAAAAAAGTACGATACGGGTACGGCTACGGTACGCCGATATTTTTTTATTTTTTTTTAAATATAATTTTGATTAAAGGATCCAACCTACAAATTAAAATTAAATATCAAAACTAAAAAAAGAACTACTCATTTTCCTATAATTTAAAACCATTAAGCGTTAAAAATAATATTTGTTAATTTTTTTTTTAAAATAATAATTAAATGAAATAGTAAAGGAAAATCTTATCATATATCTTGTTGATATGAAAAAAGTAGGATAAATTGCACTGACCCTTTAGGTTTAGAAAAGGTATAATAAGTTTTATAAATCTGATATAATTATATTGATTTCATTTTTGATAAGATTAAATTGATCAAAACTAATATTGAAGGTGTGTAGACACATAAAATTTATATGAAAAAAAAGTAATATATATATATATATTTCAGAATAAAAGAAAGGGCAAATTACACAAATAGTCCCTATAGTTTGAGGCTTGTGTCACTTTGGTCCTTAACTTTTCAATTGTGACACATTTGACCATGAATTTTGAATCTTGTTCCAAATAAGGACAATTGAATATATAATTAGATTTTTCAAGGGTAAAATTGTCAATTTGATAAAATATAAACTAATTTGACAAAAATAAATGTCAAACAAATATTTTTGAATTTTAAAAAATTATTTCTACCTACTAAAAATAAAATTATGTAAAATTGATAAATCTTTTAGACATTTATTTATTTTTTAACCAAATTAATTTTTACTATGTATTTGGATGATGATCATGTAAAATTAATTTAAAAAAATTAACTATGTAATTTTTATTAATTTTATATAATTTTATCATTGATGGATAAAAAAAATTTAAAAAAAATAAAAAATATTTTTTTGATATTTATTTTTGTCAAATTAGTTTATATTTTATCAAATTAACGATTTTACCCTTGAAAAATCTAATGATATCTTCAATTGTCCTTATTTGGAACAAAATTCAAAATTCATGGTCAAATGTGTCACAATTGAAAAGTCAAGAACCAAAGTGACACAAGTCCCAAACTATGGGGACTATTAGTGTAATTAACCCTAAAATAAATGATAATACTATCCATCCATACAACTAAGGAATTATTGATAAAAATGAAAAGTTTTATGTAAACTAAAACCTTATGAGAGCTTTGTGTAATATTATAACCTTTTGAATCGAAAAAAAAGAAAAAAAAAACCTTAAGAGAACTTAGTGTAATATTATATAAATAGAGTTGTTGTATATAAAACATTGTGTCTATTCATATTTGTTCATTTAAAATCAAAACGTCTATCACTTTGAATAATAATTTCAAAAAATGACAATGAGAAATTTGTATAAAAATTCTATTTGTATAATTATTTGAAAAAAAAAAAAAAACTCATTACCAGCATAAACTGCTTGGAGGGGGTCTCTGCCAGGGTCTTTGAAATGGAGGACTAGCTTGTGCATGTTTGAAGTGTTGCTGTTGAAGTTCTAAGCTGCTATTTCTATGCCTATTTTTTGTTCTTTGCCAATATGGGAATTCGCATCGATGATAGCTCCGATTTTTGTAGTTTTTGAATCGTTAGATTGAGCTTCTGTGAAGGATCCATGAGACAGAAAAATAAACAGGAAGGAGAAGATCTGTGTGACGAAGAAAATGGTGAATTTTGAAGACATTCTTGACTTCAACACGGTAACAACAAGTCTTATTCATACCGTTACGAATATACTTATCGATTGTTTATATATTTGTTAGCACCATAAATCTGCAATTTTTATTATTATTTATTATTTATATAATTGCAGGACACGTGGCATCCTCTTATTCATTTGGAAGTTAAAAGAAGTTATAGAGATAATGGAGAATATGAAGGACAAAGTGGATGAGTGGGAGGACAAAGTGGATGAGTGGAATGACACATGGCAAGACAAGAATGAAGATGGAAGAAATGGGTAGTTACTAAGTAGTTATTGTTGTATTTTTTCTTCTATAAATAGCCATTAATGGCTACATTGTAAAGGATCCAGAATTCATAATCAAAGACACTTGATTTCAATATTTCTTGTTATTTTCCTTATCTTAGGAGTAGTTTAACATAGATTTATATTTCGAAGCATTTATTTTCAGTATTTCTATTTCGAAGCATTTTATGTACTTTCTTTTCGAAGCATAGGAGTAGAGGTAAGTATTTATTACTTTGATTGTTCACTCAATCATCTTTCTCCGTCCCTTTTTCTTCTTTTACTTTTTCTTTTCGCTACACTTGGCAAATTTGAAGTCCTCTTCGTTGAGGCAAAAGAACCGTCAACACAATCGCTTGATAATTGGCTTGAATTTAATCTGTAAGGATTTTTCAATCCTTGCTGGCACGCTCGCATTTATGATATTTTCCTTCGTAGGAAAAATAAGCCAACAATATTGGTGGCGAGAGCACATGTGATACGTGTAAATTAAGAAAAGTTGAAATTTTGACAAAATCTTAATTAATTTTTTCGCAATTCTGTTCAAAAAATAATAATAATAAATCTGTTTTTTCACACAATTTTAAACTGTTGTAGGTATTTTGGGAAACTTTTAAGTCATATTCATGCCCAAGTCTAATATTGATTTTATATAAGAGTAATACTGTAAATTTAAAATAAAATAAAATAAATACTTAGAATATCAATGTGTGATTCGGATTATTCTACATATACACCCCATAACACACTTTCAATCCCTACTACATACTTCATTCTTAACCTAAATCTAGGTTTATATAATAATATTATAGATAGTATAAATATATAGTAAGTGTAAGAGAAATTATCTAGTAAGTCCATCCTATCACGTGATTGTATGCCCATAACAGAATAGGTGGTTTCTTTATGTGAAATATATGGGAAAAAAAAATGAAAAATAATAGTTATATGACCAATAAAATTGTAAAAACGTAGGATATGGGGCGGATATTTTTTCGTAGGTGTGAGAATTTTATCCACACAAATATCTGAATTTTCGCCTGGTAGCCTAGAAAACTCAACGGTCACAATTTCCCCCGGATAGCCTAGAAAACTCAACGGTCGCAATTTGAATCAATAGGTTTTAAATAATATTATATGTATCAATTAGTATATTAATTAATGTACTAATACATAATATAATATAATATAATATAATTTTAGAGATTTTAAAAATTTATAATTAGTATAATTGATGGGTCAATAATAAGGAAAGTCTGTATAGTACATTTTGTTCAAAAAATATACGACACATAGAAAATCAATGGCTAAGAATGCGCCACATCATTAAAAGTGACATGCTAAATATGTCATTTTTTATAGTCATGAGCCAAAATCATATTTTTTTATAATTATAATTAAATTGATCATAACTTAGTCATAACCACATCTCATAACCAACATCATTTTGTTCATAACTAATATCACATATTTCATAACCACATCTCATAACAAACACTATGTTGTTCATAACTAATATCACATGTCTCATAAATATACGGCACATAGAAAATCAATGGCTAAGAATGAGCCACATCATTAAAAGTGACCTGCTAAATATGTCATTTTTTATAGTTATGAGTCAAAATCATATTTTTTTATAATTATAATTAAATTGATCATAACTTAGTCATAACCACATCTCATAACCAACATCATTTTGTTCATAACTAATATCACATATTTCATAACCACATCTCATAACAAACACTATGTTGTTCATAACTAATATCACATGTCTCATAACCAATACCACTTTGATCATAACAAATATGACATACCTCATAACCATTGATCACATATCTCATAACTATTACCCACATGAATCATAACCACATCTCATACCCAACCCTTTTGAGTCATAATCAATATCACATATCTTGTGACCACTAGTCACATATCTCATAACCTACACTTTTTTGTCATAACCAATATCACATAACTTATAACCACTAGTCACATATCTTATAACTAACAGCTTTTTACTGATAACCACACCACTTTGATCATAACCAATATCACATATCTCATAGACATTGATCATATATCTCATAACTTACTACGCACATGAATCATGACCACATCTCACAACCAACCCCTTAAGTCATAACCAACATCACATATCTCATAACCACTAGTCACATATCTAATAGCCAACATCACGTATCCCATAACCACTAATCACATAACCAATATCTCATATCTCGTAACTATTAACACATATAGCATAACCAAATACCATTTGACACTACTTTGCTCATAACGATTATCCACATATCTCATAACCACTAACACATATAGTATAACCAAACATCTTTTGACACCATTTTGCTCATAACGATTATCCACATATCTCATAATCACTAACACATATAACATAACCAAACACCCTTTGACACCACTTTGCTCATAACCATTACCCACATATCTCATAACCATTACCCATATATATCATAACTACTAATCACATATCTCATAACCACACCACTTTGCTCATAACGATTATCCACATATCTCATAACCACTAACACATATAGCATAACCAAACACCCTTTGACACCACTTTGCTTATAACCATTACCCACATATGTCATAACCATTACCTATATATATCATAGCTACTAATCACATATCTCATAACCATACCACTTTGGTCATAACCAATATTACATATCTCATAACCACTAATCACATATCTCATAACCAAACACCATTTTACTTATAACTACACCACTATGCTCATAACCAAAATCACATATCTCATAATCACTAATTATATATTTCATTACCTTTACCCACATATGTCATAATCACATCTCATAACCAGCACCCTTTATTTCATAACCAACATCACATATGTCATAACCACTAATCACATATCTCACAACCACTACTCACATATAGGGGTGCAAATTTGGTCCACGAGCTCGCAACACACCCCAAGTCCGCTCGTGCCCTGGGTAGGCCAAACCAGGCCTGAGCCTAAGCTCAACCTAAGACCCTGGGCTATGTGTTCTAGGGCCCAACTCGGCCCTGGTGTGTTATGGAGTGTGACCTATCCTATGAGCTCGGCCCGAAATTTTCTTCCCCATCAGGCTCAACCCGACCCTAACGGCTCCCTGCCTCCCCTATCACCCATGTCAGTGCAATGGTCAAAAATTTAAAACAAAAAATTTTGAAACAGTCATATAACCGTTAATTCCACCAAGAGCCAATTTTATTATTTTATTATTTTTATATATATAAATTAACCCCTCCCTCCCAAGTCTTATAAATACCACCCCTCTCACATTTTATTTTTCACAAACAAATCTGTCTCTCAAACTCTCATTCTCTCTCAATTAATTTTGAAATGTCATCCCTAAGTGACAATTGCAATTGATCACCTATCTCTATTTTAGATTTATTTTTAGTCATAGTATCATCATTAAATATAATAAAAACAATAATATACAAACGATATACTTTTAAAATATCTATATACACTTATAGACATATATATAATTTAACTAAATATTAATAAAAAATATATAGTGATTCCGGTTTTGACCAGACCTTTGTTACATTCCAGACTCGGGTTTCGTGGTTTAATATTGTATCCATGTCTTGTTTTCCTCCTTTAACTCTTGGAATTTGAGTTTTGGAACATGTTTGGCATGTTTGGAATAGGTTGGTTGTTAGTTGGTCTAGATTGTTGTTACCCAGATTTTGGCTTCTTCGCTTGAGCGAGGCTTCTTGCGCTCGAGCGAGCCTTGTGTAATTTACTCCTTCGCTCGAGCGAGAATTGAGAGTCCTCAAGTTTCTTTCCCAGACGCAGAGTTTCTGGAAAGGTGAAGTGCTTCGCTGTAGCGAGGCTTCTTGCGCTCGAACGAGCGTGTGCGTCTGTAAAACTTCTGAAGCTTTCCATTTTGTGCTCGAGCAATGCTTTTTGCGCTTGAGCGAGGTCACTTGTTATGTCTGGTCGCTCGAGCGACAACTCCTTCGCTCGAGTGAAGGTCGCATATATCAGTTTGCAACAGAGAATTTTTACATCACTTTTTGATTTCCTTTCACCTAAAAATCCTAATCCGACACACTCTCTCTCTAAAACTCTCTATCTCTCTACAAATACTCTTTGATATAAGCACCATTACCTTACTTCCTTTGAGAAAAAGGTGGAGCATCTCGTGGGCTTCCATTCCAACTGAACAAAGCTTGGTTTTGTGCATTTTTGAAGTTCTTCATCATCTCCTTTGAGCTTCTACACTTGAGGTAGGGACATTCTACACCTTGATATGGTTTTTAACCTAGGTATTTGTCATCTTGTATAAGTGGTGAAATTTGGGACGATTTGGGTGAAGTTAGGTTTTGGGTCCAAAATTTAAAAGAGGGATTTTATATTGGGTTCCATGAGCATATATATGGGGTATTGAATATGAGGTAATGTGGGTTAAAATGATGAAATCTGAACTTGGGATTGATTTTTGGAAAATGAAGTAAATTGCCTTAATTGGTGTTAAATAATTATTTTGTATAAATAATGAAATTGATATGGGAAATATGAAATTGGGAGGATGTGTGAATGAATGGTGTAGTTGAATTTGATAAATCACTTACCTATGGAAAATTTGATAATTTATTTGTTGATGGATTGTATATCTGTTTAGAAATATCTGTTTTGGGCTATCGGTGGAAGATATCTAT